AAAGAAGGTTTTTCTCATGTTGAGATAGAATTTCCTGTGTCCCAGTTTGTGCCCGTTGCCCCTTGTCCTGTCCCCAGGAACCACTGAGAAGAGTCTGGCCCCATCCTCTTGCCCCCCACCCTTTAGCTATTGCTCAGCATCAATGAGGTCCCCTCTCGCTCTGCCCTTCTCCAGCTGAACAGCCCCAGGTCCCTCAGCCTTTCCTCAGCAGAGAGATGCTCCAGTCCTCATCATCTTCATCACCTCCGCTGGACTCTCTCCAGCAGTTTCCTGTCCTTCTGGAACTGGGGGGCCCAGAACTGGTCCCAGTGCTCCAGATGGGGCCTCCCCAGGGCAGAGCAGAGGGGGAGGATGACCTCCCTCCACCTCTGGCCACGTTCTTCTTAATGCCCCCCAGGATGCCATTGGCCTTCTTGGCCACAAGGGCCCATTGCTGGCTCCTGGGCAACCTGTTGGCCATCAGGACTCCCAGGTCCCTCTCTGCAGAGCTGCTCTCCAGCAGGTCACCCCCAGCCTGTCCTGGTGCAGGGGGTTACTCCTCCCCAGGTCAGGACTTGGCACTATATGGGTGGTGGGACCCCAGTGCTGGGGTTGTGACTTCAGGTTACCTCTAATCAGGGTGGTTTTCCGAGTTAAACATGCATTTTGCAGTTCTGGAAAGACAACAATATTAACTACTAACCTCTTCACTGAATTCGCTGGTTATTGCAAATACCCCCTTTTCCAGTACTTCTGGAAGAAATACTCTTCTCTGTTCAAAAAATAGCATTTTTGTCACCAGGAAAGGCTATTTCAGTGCTTTTTAATGCCGAGACTCAGTCTGTTTCATACAGAAGATCTTACAGAAACAAGAGACCTAATGAACAGAGGGGGGTATCGAATACTTTAAATAAGTATTTTCATGCTTTTGTTAGTTTTTAGAGGATGTGCCAAATGCCCATGGCTTTGATGGTAAGATTTGCCCGTGCTCCCGGGATGATGCTCAGGACCCAGGCAAACTGTTGTAGGTAGAAAGTCACTTACATAAAAAGATTAGTGTTATCCTTTAGCATTTGGCTAAAAAATGGCAAAACAGATTTCTGAATTTATGGCGTTTCCATTTGTTATTTATTCCAGTAGAAATCTAATGCGCAAATACGTATCTGTCAGGATAATCTTCATTTGGACAGGAGTCAGGAGTGCTTAATTCTTTTACGTGAAAATCCTCCTGTCGTGTAATCGGGTTACATATGAGTTAGGGGGGCTTTTTGTCTTTTTCAGGTTCAGAATATCTGAAATAAAAGAAACTATCGCTCTGTGGCTTTTCCCCCCATCTCCAGTTACACTGAGGAGATTATATTGACTCGAGCCTTTTAAACTAAACTGTTTTCTTTAAGTCATGTTGACATAGCGTGTCTTGTCTGGTGGTACCATGTGTTTTTAAGACTTAAATCGTGCTTTTTAGGGAATAAAAGCATAAGTACTGTAAAATGACATGTATGGCTAAACTTTTCCAGTACAGTGAGAATTCACCACATTTTTAATACAAAGTTCTGTTGTCCTCAAAAGGAAACTTGGTGGGATGGCCTGGTGACTCCAGGAGCTGGTGGCTTCTGCTGTGGTAGGACAGTTGTCTGGAGAAGACAAGAATTGAATTGGGTGGACATCAGCAGGTGGTGTCAATGAGGAATAAAGAGATTCAGAAGATTTGCAGAAATAAAAGCCATGCTAAAGTGGAGATTTCCATATTTGCTCCTTATGGGTGGAAACCCACCTCTTTGGTGCTGATCTTCTGGGCCATGAAGGTGCTCTGAGGGCTTGGGCCCCTCATCTATGAAGACAGGCTGAGAGAGTTGAGACGGTGCAGAATTTTTGACATTTTATGTCACCGATTATTTGACACCTAATTGCCTGAAAAACAACTACATTGAATCCAAACATGAAAATTTTGGCCAGCCACCAGTTTGAAAGTACAGCCTTGCTGGGAAGCATTGGTTATACCACCACAGCTTCAAATTCCTCCAGTGGTAGTCTATTGCAGGGTCCAAAATTGTTGTATTTGGTCTGAGGTGGTGGCAGCCTCTGACTCCTCTGCTTCCCAGCTCCTGGGGTCTCTGAGTCAAGTCCCCACTGGCTCTTCTGTATGTTCCTGTGGGGGGTCCCCATCCCCCTGGGGAAGCCTTGTCCCACCACATGTGTTGGCATCTGGAGCAGGTCCTTGATGCTGCAAACTTCCCAGTGTCTTCCTGAGTCCCTGCTCTATTTGAGGAGGGGCCCAGAGGTGCTGGGGCTGGAGCCCCTCTGCTGGGAGGGGGGGCTGAGAGAGTTGGGGGGGCTCAGCCTGGAGAAGAGAAGGCTCCGGGGAGACCTTAGAGCCCCTTCCAGTCCCTCAAGGGGCTCCAGGAGAGATGAGGAGGGACTCTGGATGAGGGAGGGGAGCCCTAGGAGGAGGGGGAAGGGTTTGACCCTGAAAGAGGGGAGATGGAGCCGAGATGTGGGGAAGAACTTGTTTGGTGTGAGGGTGGTGAGAGCCTGGCCCAGGTTGGCCAGAGAAGCTGTGGCTGCCCCATCCCTGGAGGGGTTCAAGGGCAGGTTGGAGGGGGCTTGGAGCAACCTGGTGTGGTGGGAGGTGTCCCTGCCCAGGGCAGGACGTTTGGATGGGCTTTAAGGTCCCTTCCAACCCAAATGATTGTGATGCCATGGTATATGGAACGGTGCAGGTTCTGCATCCCCTGCAGATTTCTGAGTCTGCCTGGGAAGCAGCAGAGTCGGTGCCATCAGCCCACTCTGTGTCAGGTTTCTTCTTCCTCTGGGTTTCAGTCACCCCCATCATCTCTGGGGCAGAGCTTCTGGTGATGGTCCCATCACAGCCATTGCCATCTCTTCGACCAGCGACCAGAAGAACCATGTTCACTCTTTATTTCAGAACAAAGTGAGCATTGCCAAGTGTCACAGGGGATGATTTGTGGTTGTAGCGTTGGCCAGAAATGATAAAGAAAGAAAAGATGAGCTATTTCCAATATATGTTATAAAAAATGACTGTTACTGGGGCAGTGGTAAAACATTTGAAACAAACACATTTGTTAAAACTTCGATTACAAATGAAATATTAGTAGATTGGCCTGTGTAGAATTATTATTCTAAAGAATTTTCCTGCCATAGTAATAATCTTTTTCTGATATGTACGTGGTTTCGTTACATCACTATCTGGCAGAAGGTGGTTATTACTGGGAATAGTTTTTTCACTGCTTTTGGCCAGTTTGCAAGCGGATCGGGTGCTTGGGTCTGCCTGTGGGGGTTATTTTGGGGTGGGTTATTAATACAATTAATACAATTGACTGCTGGCTGGTGTCATCAGGTTGTGTGTCTGAGCCAGGCTGAGGTCCGTGAGCTCCATGTGCTGGGAGGACATGGTGGGTCTGGGGGGATGTGGTGGGTCTGGGGGGAGAAAAGGGTTTGGGTCTGCCCTTATCTCCACCAGCTCCCACCTTCCTCCTCCTGGCTCCTCTTACTCCAACCCCTCCGGGCTCTGTGGGGAACGTGCTGTAAATATCACCAATATTCACCCAGGATTTTCTTGTACAAAATGGTCCCTTTATTCCTGGGCAGATCAGGTCTCCTGGGACGGATCATTAAAAGAAAAGACTGGTTATGGAGGGGGGGGCTGATTCCTTGCCTATATTCTGCTTCACAGGGACTTTCTATTGAAAAAAACCACCCCCTAACCTTTATCTCTGTTTTCCCCCAAAACATTCCTGTGATGGTTTCCGTACCAGTCGTGTGGGGCTGTTCTGGTTGCCTGTCCACAGACTCTCTGAGCCCTCTCCAGCCGCGGGGCCGGTCGGGGCCACCACGGGCTCCTCCGGAGGCAGAGATTTATTGCAGCCCCAGAGGTGGCCGTTTGACCCGTTGGGTTTTTATTACAGGAGATGCACGAGAACAAACAGCACACACACACCCCCCTTATCTTTAGTTTCAGGTCCCAAATTTAATTTGCAGGCCAGAGAACTATAAATATAAATTATTATGTAAATGGAGGCGATCAGGCTGGGAGTCAGGGAGGGATGAAGCGCCCTGACCCACCGTCCCCACGTGGAGCGGCTTTTCAAATCAGCCTTGTACTTTGTTGGGTGTGAGTTTAACTTGGAAATGTAATACAGTCATTTCTGCACAGAACTTACTTGTTCTGTTCCTCTGGTGTGGCAGGAATATCTCTTTAAAAACTTCATAATAAAAGCGCTTTAGTAATTATTTTCTTCCAAACAAATGTTGCACAGAACTTTGCGTCGTTTCTTTTAGAATTCAGACTGTTAAAACATGCAGAAAAAAAAAATATCCAATTTCTCTAGCGCTAGTGGTCAGTACTGCTTTGTTACAGACGGTTTTACCTTTTCCCTGTTCTTTATTTAAGTCTCTTGAATCTTTTCTGGATTTGCAAGGATAAAAGTGGAGTGCTTGTTTTTTGTCTTTGGGCAGCATTAGCTTTGCTCTGATCTTTTGTGTTGAACACCAAATCCGCCTGGTCGGACATTCAGAATGTTTGGAAATTGAAATTTTATGTTCAGAGGAAACAATTACTGAACACAGAATTTGTGTATTCATTTCAGATATTTATAGTTAAATATCTTAAACCCTGATGGGCTCTGTGTTACCTTTCCGTGATCTTGGCTTTTCTATAGTCACTGCATCCAGGCCCATTTGCTTCCTGGAAAAAAATAAATTATTTAATAAAGTAGAAAAAAAGGAGGCGTTTAAGAGTATCAAAAATGTGCCTCAGTACTCACACGCTTTAAAGTAAGACTGTACATTTTGAAAGCTTTAATAAGAGCCATCTCCTTTGTAAAGAATGCAGATAATTTTTTTTTTTTTTGACCAGAAAAAAAAAAAAAAAAAAAAAAAAAGAAAAAAAAGGGTAACCTGATCTGAGTCTGACAGTGTCGTTTAGTTAAGTGCTTCCATCTGTTGCTTGCTATTTCCCTTACTCATGACCTCTCTTTCTCTCTCCCCCTCCTTCTCCTTAGCCCCTTTGAGGAAAGCAAAGTTTGTTGAGAGCCCTCGAATCCCCGAGTCTGAGCTTGGCTCCCCAACACTCTCCTCGGCACAGAAACTGGACGTTGATGCGTTCTGCCCTGGTAAGCTGCATGCCTCGGCGCCGCCGTGAGCCAGGAGACAGGGGCAAGTCCAGCCCAGAAGGATATTTAAATGTAGTTGGGCTCCTTCTATCATAGATGGTGCATTTCAACCTTCCCCAGCCAAGTTGCCTTGACTTGGAAACTTGAATAAGTAGTAGTTTCTAATTAATACCCGGTTACATTTGGATTTTTGGATTTGGTGTGTGTTCTGGGCTGGCCTCGTGGCCGCTCTCCCCTCGGAATAATCTAAAAAGATCTAGGGAGTTGCTTTTGAGGCGATAAAAATGATCCAATAAACGTACCTCTTTAAATTTAATTTTTAATGCTGGTCTTCAGAGAGGCTGCAATAAAACCACGTTTTGGAAATATCATTAAATCAACTAATGCAAAACCACGGGATCTTGTTTACCTGCATGCAAGAATATTGCTTTTTTGATTTAATTTTTATTTTTTTTTTTTAAAAAAAAAGAAATAGCTTTTAATTTATGCATCCTGTAGTAAATGCTCTTAAAAGTATACATCTTGCTGGAGGCCTCTGGTTGAAATGTAAATAGAAGAGGGTCGTGTCCCTGCCTGGCTTAACCCCGTGTGGGTCTGACGGTGGGGGCAGTCACAGAAATCCCTCTGGGCCCCCCCAGACCCTCCTGCAGATGCGTGAGCACCGTCAAATCGTTATATCCCTGTGTCTCACAGCAGCTCTGTGTCTTCCCCACATTCTTCCCACCTTGGAAGTGGGACCCATGGAGGCTGGGACCGACCGGTGCTGTCATAAAGCAGCAGCAGTGGATTTTTTGTTAAATTCTGCTGTTTTCTCCCCCGGCTTTCCCTGATTTATGAACCAAAGGGACCCATGTTCAGCGTAGGCCTTGGATGGGGTAAACGGGTGTTGGGTGTTTCGAAAGGGCATGTAACTATGTGACACCTTCCTCTTAAATCTATAATACATTAAAAAAATGTTATATTAGGAAATGATTCTCTGAAATCAGGGTACCGTTTATTTGGGTGGATGCTGAGCTTACAGAGTGTTTGCAGTTGGAGGAATGGATAGAGTGTTGTCCAGATTTTGAATGTGGGCTTTCTTTAATGTATTGTGTTTGAAAGAGGAGTTGTCTTAGGACAAAACAAAAGACAGTCCCTGTGCTTGGAAGTGTCTCCTTGGAGGCCGTGGTTGCTGCGAAAAGAGCTCCTTCTTTTTTCAATCATCATGAATTACAATTAAAATTTTGCTGTTGCAGCCCTTTCTTCTTCAAGCTAAATAGCTTCTACTGTCGCGTTTGTAATTGTTAATAATTATAAACTTATTATGATTGCATCCACAGAGAGTTATAATTGAATTGTAAATTTGGCTTAAAAAGCATCAATTCCACACTCCCGTGTCACACGTGACGTCTCGGGGGCATCCTCACTCGAGTGTCCCCCCCTGCCCGGCTTTCAAGCTAAATAGCTTCTACTGTCGCGTTTGTAATTGTTAATAATTATAAACTTATTATGATTGCATCCACAGAGAGTTATAATTGAATTGTAAATTTGGCTTAAAAAGCATCAATTCCACACTCCCGTGTCACACGTGACGTCTCGGGGGCATCCTCGCCCGAGTGTCCCCCCCTGCCCGGCTGTTCCGAAGGGCAGGACTCCTGCCAAGTGCAGGAACAGGCTCTGACAAGGGGCGTGACGTCTCGGGGGCATCCTCACTCGAGTGTCCCCCCCTGCCCGGCTGTTCCGAAGGGCAGGACTCCTGCCAAGTGTGGGAATGGCAAGGGGTTTGGTGATATTTTTATTTGCTTTTTGATCTCCTCCTCTTACTGACGGTGTAGGGATCTGAAAGGAGTGAGAGCAAGAGAGTTGCCATAGTAGGTGCTGGTGAACGTGGAGTAGAAGTAGAAACGGAAAGTGGAGTTTCCTACTGCCTGCAAGTATCGTTCCAGAAACATGAAGCGTCATTAAGGAAAGAAAAAAAAGTGAGAGCAAGAGAGTTGCCATAGTAGGTGCTGGTGAATGTGGAGTAGAAGTAGAAACTAGAGAATTTCACTGAATTTCACTGAATTTTTTAGAGTTGGAAGGGACCATAGAGATCATCTAGTCCAACTCCCCTGCTGAAGCAGGATTGCCCAGAGCTTGTCAGAGCATGTTGCTCAGGAGCATCCAGGTGGGGCTTGAAAATCTCCAGAGAAGGGGACTCCACACCCTCCCTGGGCAGCCTGTTCCAGGGCTCTGCCACCCTCACCGTGAAGAAGTTTCTCCTCATATTTGAGTGGAACCTCTTCTGTTCCAACTTGTGCCCGTTGCCCCTCGTCCTCTCAGTGGGAACCACTGAAAAGAGTCTGGCTCCCTCCTCCTTCAACCCTCCCTTGAGAAAAGGTAGAAAGGTCTCAGGTTGGTAAATGAGGTGCCAGGGGAGCTGCCCCTCTCCCTTGTGTCCATACTCAGTGCCCAGGACCTCCCCTGGTCATGTTTGCCCAGGTCCAGGGATGGCAGCATTGGAAGAGCCCGGCCAGGTCTCTGGTAGCGGTGGGAGACAGTGGAGAGAGAGAGAATCCTCTGGGGAAGGGTTTCGGAAGCTGTTTGTAGAAGGAAGTTTGTGAAGTTTTCCTCTCTCAATGCTGCAGCTCCTCCCTTCTTCCTCCCACTCCGAGGCGTTGGCCCGTGGTCACCCCATGGTCACCTCATGGACCTTTACTCAGCTTCTGCGGCAGAAGTGGGTTATGCTTTACCTGCCTGGGTTACGGTTCCTGCTGTGAAAATAGTGGTAACACGAGGGCTGGAGGTTTCACTGGGCTGGAAGGCTGGATTAAAGGAGCTCAGGAGATGAGGCATTGGAAGGAAGGAGGTGGCTGGGGAAGGATCCTTGTGTAAAGAAGAAAAAGTACAAAGATCTGGAGAACTCCTAGGGACCACAGGACTTCGGGTCTGGACATAGTGTCCACCTTCAGATGGAAAAGTGGAGGAAGAGGAGCTGAGGGTCCTACTCTGGACCACACCAAAGCCTGCAGGCTCTGCCTTCATCGGTTTTCCAAGGAAACACAGCCCATTCCTTCAGCATTAGGCTTCTTTTCCCCCTCTCTGAGAGGTGTGGATCCCGTGCAGGACGTTAGCGCAGAGCGTTCAATCCTGAGTGTCTCCAGGAATGGTGACAGGAGTTGAAAGAAGGAAAAAACCAAGGCTGAAGATACGCTGGAGCCTCGCAGTGGAGTGGAGGTGGAGTGGCTTGTAAAGTGATCCCTGACAAGTAATGTAATTAATTACACACTTAAAGGCAGTTTAAAACACTAAATGGCAATGAGGAGAGAACATTATCTGCTCTGCATATAGAAATGATCATTTCATTTTGAGATGTCTCGAGATGAAGTTTTGCCCAATGCCAAAATGTTTATTTTAAGGCTTTGGGCGAATTTCAGTGCGTTCTGGGGAGGTGGTTTCCTGAGTGACCCCCGTGGCCCCTCGGCTGCCCCGGGGAACGCGGCGCTTGGCATCTCGCAGCGCGGATCGGGGTGCGAGGTGATGCTCTCTGGATGTTTCAGCTTTGAGGAAGAAAAAAGAAGAACGAGGTGGCCAGTATCTTTTGAGGGAGGTTCTAACAGGAAGGGCAAAGTAAAGCTTTAATCGTGATATGATTTTTTTTTTCTTTGTTTTGCCAAAGGCAGCCATTAAATTCTGTAAGGTGACTTTAATCGTAGCATCATAGAATTGTCGAGGTTGGAAGGGACCTTTCAGATCGTAGAGTCCAACCATCAACTTAACTCTGATAAAACCCATCACTAACCCATGTCTCTAAGCACTATGTTGACCCGTCTTAAATCCCTCCAGGGATGGGGCCTCAACCCCTTCCCTGGGCAGCCCATTCCAAGGCTTAAGAACCCTTTCCATGAAGAAATTATTCCTGATCTCCAATCTGAACCTCCCCTGGGGCAACTTGAGGCCATTTCCTCGTGTCCCATCACCTGTTCCTTGGGAGAAGAGACAGACCCCCCCCAGCTACACCCTCCTTTCAGGGAGTTGGAGAGAGCAATAAGGTCTCCCCTCAGCCTCCTCTTCTCCAGGCTGAACACCCCCAGCTCCCTCAGCCTCTCCTCATAAGACTTGTGCTCCAGACCCCTCACCAGCTCCGTTGCCCTTCTCTGGACCCGCTCCAGCCCCTCAATGTCTTTTTTGTGGTGAGCAGCCCAAAACTGGACACAGCCCTTGAGGTGGGGCCTCACCAGTGCCCAGCACAGGGGGATCATCACTTCTGAGAATGTACATAAGTGAAAGCAGAAATTAGACCACACTTTAAAGTTGTTGCATTTGAAATGATGACCCAAAAAAAGCTGTTTCTTGGATTTAAGAAACCCATTTCTATCAGAATTATATTTCTGTAGAAACTTTTGGGATTGCAGTGGTCATTTAGAGTTCAATCAAGCCGTTTTTTGACTTGGAATGTTTGTGATGGAGAAGCTGTTGTTTCTTGACTTAGTGGTGACTTTATAAGGAGGGTCTGAAAGGAGTTTGATCCATCCTTCCTCCCCATCTCTGCTCCCATCCCGTTTCTCAGAGGTGGTTCCATTTTCCTTCTTGTCAAACTTTCTAAGGGAGTGGGACAGCTCGGGGGTGACACCCGCACGGCCACCGTCGTCCTTTAAAGGAGATAACATGGAAGAGCAGGAGTTCGCTGTCAAACCTCCATTGTTCAAGTGTTAAACCTTTCCTCTAATGGTCTGCTGAGTCACAGTTTAATGTGTAAAGGTTTTTTCCCCCAAAATTTATCCCACCTCACCCCCACCCCGCCTAGTGGCAATGCTCCTGTGATGAAAGGCGTCCTGGTTCTTGGTTGTGCTTAGGTGTCTATCACAAGGGCATCTTCCTTTGAATTGCTTTCTGGTTTGATCATGGTCACTAAAACATGTTTTGACTTGTGAGCGCTCAGGAAACCTACTGGAAACAGTCTGAGATGGATGGGGCTTTCAGGTAATTGCCTTTTGCCTTAGATGAGTGTTTGCAGTTGCGTTGTGTGTGATCTATGACCT